GGAGTGGAAGGGTAGGAGGAGGGAGGGATAGAGGGAATAGAGAGGGAGGTGTCTAGGGAATGAGTTGTGAGGGAGTGGAGAGCTCAGGTAAGAGAGAGGGAGAGAGGGAGAAGGACTGGAGGGAGGAAGGGAGAGGACGGGGGAGGAGGAGGAAACCTTTCAATATTATCTACTAAGACAATAACTCCCCTCCCTCCCTCCCCCCCCTCCCTCCCCCCTCCCACGTATTAAGTTACATACATAGGAACACTCACATAACGACAAACTACCTTCCTTGCCTCAAAAGTTCGTAAGTCGAATTTTTCTCATAAACTAAGACCTACGATTCTCACATGGTCGTAAGTCGAATTTTCTATCATAAACTAAGACCTACGATTCTCATATGATCGTAAGTCGGATTTTCTATCATAAACTAAGACCTAAGATTCTCATATGATCGTAAGTCGAATTAGAAGACTGTAAATAACGTGCTGGTCTGTGTTACAAGAAAAAGGTGGATTCTCAAAGGGTCTTTCGTTTAATATTCTTAAAACAATTCATATAAAAAACGGAATTTAACAGAAACTGCACGCCACGAGATACACTCACCCCACTTACACGAGAGAGGGAGTAAGAGGCCGAGGAGAGGGAGTGAGAGGTCGAGAGAAGGAGTAAGAGGCCTGGAGAGGAAGTGAGAGGAGGCAGAGAAAGGGAGTGAGAGGCAGGGAAAAGGGGTGAGAGGAAGGAAAGGAAGTGAGAGGCAGGAAATGGAATGAGAAACAGGAAGAGGTAGTGAGAGGCCAGGAGAGGGGGTGAGAGGCAGGGAGAGGGAGTGAAAGGCAAGGAGAGTAAGTGAGAGGCAAGGAGAGGGAATGAGAGGGAAGGAAGAGAGAGAAAAAACACATTCTATTTACGAACCAAAAACATTCCTCGTAAGATCCTTCGAGGAACTGGAGAAAGGAAAAAAAAATCTCGGTGTTTCCAGGCGGGTTAGCAACGTGTAGTGCAGTGTTGACAGTAAGACACCGAGCTGAGAGCCACACGTCCCACGGTGTCTCAATGTGTCCCACGGTGTTCCAATGTGTCCCATGGTGTTCCAATGTGTCCCACGGTGTTCCAATGTATCCCCATGTGTCCCACGGTGTCTCAAGGTGTCCCACGGTGTTCCAATGTATCCCCATGTGTCCCACGGTGTCTCAATGTGTCCCACGGTGTTCCAATGTATCCCCATGTGTCCCACGGTGTCTCAATGTGTCCCACGGTGTTCCAATGTATCCCCATGTGTGTCCCTGAATGTCTGCAGGTGTCCAATCATTTCCCAATGTGACTCCCACAGTGTTCAATGTGTCCCAGTGTTAATGTATCCCATGTGTCCCACAGTGTCTCAAGGTGTCCACGGTGTCTCAATGTGTCCCAGTGTTCAATGTGTCCCACGGTGTTCCAATGTATCCCCATGTGTCCCAGTGTCTCAAGGTGTCCCAGTGTTCAATGTATCCCCATGTGTCCCACAGTACTGCTTTAGATTCTGCGAAACCCTGGATATATTTCCAACAGGGTTTCGGCAAATGGCCCTAGTGATCTCTGGGTGGAGGTAAGGTAGTGATATTGGGTTGTGGGTGGAGGTGGGTGGAGGTTGTGGGTGGAAGCTATGGGTTGTGGGTGGTGGAGGTTGTGGGTGGAAGCTATGGGTTGTGGGTGGTGGAGGTTGTGAGTGGAGGATGTGGGTGGAGGTAGGTGGAGGTTGTGGGTGGAGGTAGGTGGAGGTTATAGGTTGTGGGTGGAGTTGGATAGAGGTAGGTAGCGATAGATAGAGATGATGGAGGAAGAGAACACCTGTAGATACCTAATTAATTTACCATACACACTTAATTACCTCATTAATCAACACCTGTAGACAAATTAATCACCTGTAGACCCACAAAAAACATCACGAAACAGGTAGAAAACTTATTAACAGAGGGAGGAACTTCACCTCACCTGACGGTAATTACCACACACCTGAGGAAGACGTAATTACCCCCCACTTAATTAATTCATGAAAGGGCTATTAGGTAATTTCGTGCCGCTAATCATTCTATCATATCATTTTATTTATCATTCGTGTCCAGGTAAAAAAAAAGGTGTTTGTTTGTTTGTTTGTCAGTGTGTTTGTGTGAGTGTGTATGTGTCAGTGGTGGTTTTTTTGGGGCAACAAGGAAACACACACACACACACACACACACACACACACACACACACACACACAGGTAATAACTCGCTAATTACCCCCCTTCCAATTTACACTCATATAGTAATTACGTGAGATAACAAGGAATTATAAGCCATTTGCATAATATTTAGGAATGAGATAATTTGTCAATGATTATACACTTAGTATATCACGCCCACGCACCAGTATGTCACACCCACGCACCAGTATATCACGCCCATGTACAGTATATCACGCCCACGCACCAGTATATCACGCCCACGCACCAGTATATCACGCCCACGCACCAATATATCACGCCCACGCACCAGTATATCACGCCCACGCACCAGTATATCACGCCCATGTCCAGTATATCACGCCCATGTCCAGTATATCACGCCCACACATACACACAATCACACTGGTTCACATTAACAAGTCCTCTCGGGTGGATGGGCGTGGCTTGTGGGTGTGGCTTGGGGGGGACGTGGTTTATAGACGTGATTTTATGGGCGTGGCTCGTGGGCGTGGCTCGTGGGCGTAATCGTAGAGGCTTCACCCCACACCGCCATCCTTTAATAAAACGACCGACCCGAATTCTCAAAAACATATGCTATTAATGGCTCTACCAGTCTATACCTGACACTCTCTGGCATTAGTAGGCTCTATGAGGTACTAACTGGCACTACGCTTTGCATTGCTTATGTGTGACTAGGTGTGTGAACTGGCACTACTAGGCTCTATGTGGCACTAATAGGCTCTTGGCAGCGGCTTGGAAACTGGCACTACTAGGCTCATGTGGCACTACTAGGCTCTATGTGGCACTACTAGGCTCTATGTGGCACTACTAGGCTCTATGTGGCAATTATAGTCAGGCAATGTGGCACACTAGGCTCTATGTGGCACACTAGGCTCTATGTGGCACACTAGGCTCATGTGGCACACTAGATGGCAACGGTCTATGTGGCACACTAGGCTCTATGTGGCACTATCAGGCTCTATGTGGCATACTAGGCCTATGTGGCACTAGGCTCTATGTGGCACTACTAGGCTCTATGTGGCACCACTAGGCTCTGTGTGCTACTAGGCTATGTGGCACCACAGGCTGTGGCACATTTGTGGCACTACTAGGCTCTATGTGGCACTGGCTCTGTCTTTGGCCATCTTGTCTATGTGGCACTACTAGGCTCTATGTGGCATACTAGGCTCTATGTGCACTACTAGGCCTCTATGTGGCACTACTAGGCTCTGTGTGGCACTAAGCTCTATGTGGCACTACTAGGCTCTATACTACTGCTTGTGGCACTACTAGGCTCTATGTGGCACTACTAGGCTCTATGTGGCACTACTAGGCTTATGTGGCACTATAGGTTTGGTACTGTTGTGCACCAGGCTCTATGTGACTGGCTCTATGGATTACTAGGCTCTATGTGGCAATACTAGGCTCTATGTGGCACTACTAGGCTCTATGTGGCACTACTAGGCCTGTGGCACTACAGTTTGGCATAGGCTCTATGTGGCACTACTAGGCTCTATGTGGCACTACTAGGCTCTGTGTGGTGGGTGGGCTCTTATGTGGCACTACTAGGCTCTATGTGGCTCTATGCACTACTAGGCTCTATGTGGGTTGGTATACATTATGGGCACTCTGTTGTGCACTCAGATGTGGCACACTAGTTGTGGCACAAGGTTTGGTGTGTTTTGGTTGATACTGGCTTATGTGACTACTGGCTCTATGTGGCACTACTAGGCTCTATGTGGCACTGCTAGGCTCTATGGCACTACTAGGCTCTTGTGTTACTACTGGCACTACTAGGCTCTATGTGGCACTACTAGCTCTATGTGGCACTATGGCTCTATGTAATGTGGCACTGCTAGCTTATATGGCACTACTAGGCTCTATGTGTTCTAACTGGCACTACTAGGCTCTATGTGGCACTACTAGGCTCTATGTGGCACTACTAGGCTCTATGTGGCACTACTAGGCTCTATGTGGCACTACTAGGCTCTATGGCACTGAGGCTCTATTGGCTGTTACAATGGCACTAGTTTGTGGCAATAGGCTTCTCTATGTGGCACTACTAGGCTCTGTGTGACTACTGGCTTTGTGGCACTGATTCGCACTATCTGAGTCAGCTGAGTGGCACCAGACGAGAGGCAATCAGGAGGATGTCTGATGGGGGTGAAGAGTTGGCACTGTGTGTGTGTGTGTGTGTGTGTGTGTGTGTGTGTGTGTGTGTGTGTGTGTGTGTGTGTGTGTGTGTGTGTGTGTGTGTGTGTGTGTGTGTGTGTGTGTGTGTGTTGTGTTGTGTGTGTGTGTTGTGTGTTGTGTGTTTTTTTATACTTACATGTTTCTCCCTTGTCGTTACGAAATTTTTTCAGGGGTGTGGTCACCTAGCCATATAGCAGTCAAGGTTACCACTTAATGAGAGAGAGAGAGAGAGAGAGAGAGAGAGAGAGAGAGAGAGACGTACTGGATGACCTTGAGAGAACAGGTTTATAAAGGTCTGTTACGTAATTATTAATCACCTGTGTGTGTGTGACGCAGCCTCTCTTTCCTCTCTCTTAGCTTCTCTCTCTCTCAGCCTCTCCCAAAGAAACAAATAAACAAACACATACAAAGACACACAAATATGGCTACGACAGACAGACAGACAATATGGAAGCCAACCAAGAAGTAATAAATTTTAACAAGGGAAAGAGAGCGGAATAACAAGATGGAGACCAGCTAACAGGGCTTTATTAGCTTCCTCTCTTTTACTCTCTCTTCTCTCTCTCATCAGTGACGTCATGATAATCAGAGTGGAACCAATCAAAGATGACAACTAACCTGTAAGTAGTGACGTCACGGCGGCGACCAGGAGGGAAGAAGACACAGCGGGGCCTGCGATTGGTCCAGCCACGATGCCCACGACATAGGCCACGCCCAACACAGCCCACAGCCCCACAGTGCGGTAAACGAGCACCCCTAGGCCACGCCCACAGTCACCCCATATCCCAGGCGTGGGTGTGGGCGGCGTGGCGGCGCACGGTTCTGAGGAGCAAAAGGGCGCGTACGGACGAGGGCTGAGTAAATATGGCGGGCGGTGGAGGCAAAGTTCTGCTGACGGCGGGAGTGTAGTAAGGGCGGCGTCATGGTTACCACACTCTATACCACCGCTTTTATTAATTACAACCTCCACTGTTATGTAGACTTCACAGGTTTAATTTCAGCCATGTTCATATAAAATGTAAATATATTTCAGGTCACTGGCAAATATATTTTTCTGCAATATTAAATAATTTCAGCTTATAAACCAACCTGTGTTCATGCGATATTAATATTAAAAAAACACTACTGAATGTCTTAACTCTGAGACAAAATGGCGAAAATGTCTTGGTAGATAAGTCATGGTGTTATGAATACAAATTTTCTTTTCACTTTACCACAAAAAAATCAACTATTCCTTACTATCATGTCTCCTCGTTACTTCCTAGCTAGACAATAGAGTTCTGTCGTATCCCAGATCTTAAAAATCACCTCCAGAACACCGGGAAGAGAAATAAAAGCAAAAACTACAAAGTAATTCAACAGTGTTTTGGAGAGGGCCTGGGAGATAAGTCACGCCCCGCCACCACACCGTCTCCGTCGCCATTATTCATTTTCTCTCAACTTGGAAGAAAAAACCAAATTCACGTAATAACATTAATGCTGAAAATACGAATTTAAAATGAGGGAAAAAATATATTTAAAACGACATAATGTAAGCGGAGAGAAGCGGAGAGCACTATTAACTAATATCTCCGAGAAGTCTTTTGACCTAACCTAACCTAATCTAACCTAAACTAACCTAACCTAACATAACCTACCTCCAACCTAGCCTGACAGTAAAGGCGAATCTCATAAATGTCACCATGTCTGAGGTCAAAGGTCACCTGCTATGAGGTTAAAGGTCAACAGGTCTGAGGTCACAGGTCACCGGGTCTGAGGTCAAAAGTAGCCAGATCTGAGGTCAAAAGTAGCCATATCTGAGGTCAAAGGTCACCAGGTCTGAGGTCAAAAGTAACCAGATGTGAGGTCTAAGGTTACCAGGTCTGAGGTCAAAGGTCACCGGGTCCTGTATCAGAGGTCACCAGGCAAAGATACGGTCAAAACAAAGTCGTTGGTTGGCGTGTGTCGACCTGAGGATAATGGAGGGTTGTGAACTGTGGTCCTGAGATGTTACTGCTGAGAGAGTGTGGGAGAGAGAGTGGGGAGAGAGAGAGGTGGGGAGAGAGAGAGTGTGGGGAGAGAGAGAGGGGAGAGAGAGAGAGAGTGTGTGGGGAGGAGAGAGGTGGGGAGAGAGAGAGGTGTGGGGAGAGAGAGAGTGTGTGTGGGAGAGAGAGTGGGAGAGAGAGAGGGTGGGGAGAGAGAGAGGAGAGAGAGTGGGAGAGAGTGTGGGGAGAGAGCGTGTGGGAGAGAGAGAGGTGAGAGAGAGAGAGAGAGAGAGAGAGAGAGAGAGGTGTGTGGGAGAGAGAGAGTGGGGAGAGAGTGCGGGGAGAGGGAGAGAGAGGTGGGGAGAGAGAGAGAGAGAGATGAAGACGAATAGATAGTATGTATGTGTAAAGTTGTCTGTGTGTATGTGAGCTCTTTAACCCCCCTCCCTCCTCCCTCCATTCCTTCCTCAGTTCCACGAAGCCTACAAATAGCTGACGAGGGAGAGATATCTATCTATCTATCTATCTATCGACTCATCTATCTATCTATCTATCTATCGACTCATCTATCTATCTATCTATCGACTCATCTATCTATCTATCTAAGTATATATACTTCATTAATATTTCTCTCTCTCTCTCTATTCATAATAACTATATCATATAAGCAAGAGAGAGAGAGAGAGAAAGGTGTGACGCAGGTACCATTCAATAACACAGGTACTCACTCTACCATACCATTGGCCTTGATGGTAACGCCAGAGTGACTCGTTGCACACACACACACACACACACACACAGCTCATAGTATATACAACATTCATACTTCCCAAGCTCACCTATGCCTCCCCACCACGTGCTTCCTCCTAAATGCCACACAACGTAAACACCTAGAAAAAGTGCAAGAGGGCATGCAAGATTATTCTCTCCCTTCCTACTCCCTCAAGAAGCGCTCAACACACTGACCCTTTCGACTCTCACTGACCATCACCACGGCCTCATCTGCAAATTTGGTAAAGCTTCTACCACCCCCGACACCGGCCCCTACTACCACCTGAGATCCCCTGCCCGAAATTGCTGTTCGACACCACAACCGCATCCAGCCCATACGTGCACGAACTGATCGCTATAAGAACAGCCCAGTCCCAACCATTGTAAAAATTATCAATAACATGTAATAAATCAGTGTATTCACTCCCAGTAAACACTGCTCCTACACTGTCACTATGTTGAAATGAACTGTAGTTGAGCTGATCCCCATCTAAGTTATTATATGTCCTATTTGTGTCACTTATGTCACTTGTATATTATTTGTAACTCGTAACCCATTCCCCAAATATGTAACTGTATATTTTCAGCCTTCTGGCTGCCAAGCTCTTTCAATAAACCGTTAATTATTATTATTATTATTATTATTATTACACACGTCAAATCTCCCAGCTATCGTCGCCACATCCTCTGTTGTCTCAAGTCCCTGGGAGTTCCCGGGTCTAAGCATTTCACTGTTTACACAACACTTGTACTTCCTAAACTGACCTATGTGCTTCCCCTGCCTCGTCTTCTCTTCCATTATCTCTCTCTCTCTCTCTTTCTATGTACCTCCCTCCCTTCCTCTTTCTGCTCCCTCCTCTTCCTCTCTCTTTCTACCCCCATCTCTATCTTCCTCTCTCTGTGTCTCTCCACCTCTCCACACCCCACAGGAGTACAATAGACCACAGGTGGGTTACGTTATCACCTTACCTACTCTTCATTACACTCTATTAGATAAGAACCTCAATGATCTCGCTGCTTTATAAACCACTACGACACCTACATCCTTTTTCTGTCATCAGCGTCTACACCTGGCTAAGATAACAGGTGAGGTGTTATCTAGGAGGTGAGAAGGGTGGGAGGTGTTATTTTAGGGATGGGGTGTGTGTGGGGGTGGGGGAAGGGTTATAGGGAGGGTGAGGTGTGTGGGGAGATGTTATTTTAGGGAGGTGTGTGGGTGGGGGTGGGGAAAGGGTTAAGGGAGGGTGAGGTGTGGGGAGGTGTTATTTTAGGGAGGGTGTGTGGGTGGAGGTGTTATTTTTAGAAAGAATGGGTGTGGGGATTGTTTCAGGAGGGAGAGGGGAAGAATGGGGAATTAAGGTGTTATCATGTTATCTTGGTGGGAGAGAAACGAGTTGTTATCATCAAGCATGGTACGAAAGGAAGTGATATTTTTCTTAACAGACCAAAAAAAAAACGAAAGAGTTGTTTTGAAATATTTAAAAGTCATAGATAAGAAAAATATACTATGTGGTAGGGAAGTTCCACATAGTGTGTGTGTGTGTGTGTGTGTGTGTGTGTGTGTGTGTGTGTGTGTTTTAACTAACCTTTAACTAAATTAAGTAGTGGAAATGGAGTGGCCTTACCTGCACCCACACCTGTACAGTTAATGACACCTGTGTATGAGTCACCTAGTGTTTATTAGTTGGTCCTTGGTACAGTAACACCTGGTTTAACACCTCGAGTCTATAACGTAACCTAACCAACAAACCTCACCTCACCTAACATGTCACGGTAAGATTTGAAGTGAGTGAAATGCTCATGGTGTCAATACCGTGTAAAATCATCACACGAAATAAACTGAGAGTTTCCTCAGCTAATCCGATTGATCCCTTACAGCTGAGAGTAGCGGAGAATCGTGTTGTGAATTGAGAGGAATGAGAAGTGACTGACGATCGAGGAAGTTAGAGCTGAATGTATTAAACTACAGGAATAAAGTCATGGTTTGGTATAGAGTTGATACGATACCTACACCCTCCCTCAATGGGCTCTATATACCTCACTGAGATAACAGGTGAGGGAGGAGGAAAAGGGGGAGGGGGGAGGTTATCTCAGGGGAAAGGTGAGGTATTGTTTTGCCATTGTATTAGGGAAATGTTTGGTTACGATAAATTTTGAGTTTTGTTGTGTGTGTGAGATAGTTTTGGTGTTCCTGAGGTGCGATAAAAGCAAGATTTCGGTGTTTATGGTGTGGACATTCCTAAATTGTATTCAACTTTTGATGAGGAGACGATATTGTCATTTCACCAACAAAAACTTATAAATATTATCATTGGTGTAAGATGAGTGCAATTTCTTCAATGATTTTAGTTTATATTATTGTTTAATTTAACCTCAGTCATACGGTGAATTTATCCTTTCAATATAAAATCTTGAATTGACGACATGAATGGAAAAAAATAATCATCTTATTCCAATATATAGCAGAATGAACAAGACAAGTTGACCTATCAGATAACTTTAACGTTGGTGTACAGAGATATCACCCTCGCGAGCTGATAACTTCATCCTTTAGAGATGTGGGGCTGCATTAATCTCACTCACTTAAAATAGACAATAATATAACTGTGAAAAAAGGGGTTTGGAAATTGTATTGAGACTTGTAACTAAGACGCGATCACTCATCTTTAGATACCATTAATATAAGAAACCCGGCGATATTGGTTTTCATCTCCTGCACAGGTGATTAATGTCAGACAATCGGATAATTCTTTCTCATTTTCCTTCCAATCGATTAAAATACGACGATATCTTTTTCCTCGTCATTTAAAAACGAATTATGTAGATAAGATGATGAATTAGTTTTTACTCCACGAATGATTAATATAAGAAAGGCGAGGACATTGTTTACAGAGCGCCTCTATATCGCCTCCCTCACACACCATTAAGCTTCAGGGAGAGCGAGAGATGGCACAGCAATTTATCGAATGCGTGAAGTAGAGGAAATGGAAATATATAGTTTATGCTCAGATCGGGTTATATATTTCAGGGGTTATGCGTGGCCAGGGAGCCCGAGGGTATAAATAATCAGGCAGAGGAGAGACGCTCATGGATCTATACCTTCCCTCTGACTGCTCCTTCGTGAACTACTCCCACCTGAACGCTCACGAACAACGAATATACTAATGGGTGTTCGTGTCTGTCAAAAAGTAACTAAAATATCAGCTATGAATCTTCCATAATTCGATTCGTTACCATAGCAAAATGTGGTTAATT